GGCATACATACATGGTTGAGCAATAGGGAGGCATCCCTTGACCGCACCCGGGAATCGATCAGCCTCCCATTGTATCTGTTCCATATGGTAATTCCTCGGGAACAGCCATTGAAGGCTTCACGAACTACGTGGTCAAAACGTGTTAAATAATGTGGAGCCAGAGGACATCCCTGTTACACCCTAAGGTGTAGAGGGAATGGCTCTGACTGACGGCCATGTAGTTTTACGCGGGGCCGCTCACCATCATGAAGGTCCTTAAGGATCATGAGCAAAGTTTGAGGGACTCCGAAAGCATGAAGAACAACCCAGAGGCCAGGCCTACTGATGGTATCATAGGCCTTGAGCAGGTCAATAAAGCACATACATTCACTCACTCACATGCGCACATGGAGCTACAGACACGCAAAGAAATGGACTTACACTGACTGACATGGAGCCATGCACACAAAGCGACTATTACAGACAGCCATGGACTGACACACACAGACATCGACTCACACATACAAACACATGGACTTACACACACATACATAGACTGACACACATTGCCCTACACACACATAGACATATGGACTGTGACACACAGACATCTACTTTAGATACACACACATAGATTAACAAACACACATCGACACACAAACGCACATTGACTTACACACTCAGATGGAGCCATGCACACACATCGACTCACACACACGCATTGACGTACACACATGGAGTGAAACACAGACGTATGAACTAACACACACATGTGGACTAACACACACAGCGACAGATACGCACACAAATGGACTGACACACACACAAACACTTGTACGTACACACACACGGGGCGTTGTCCATTTGAAAAAGACAGACACACACATGGACCCACACACATAGAAACCCATCGACTTACACGCACACAAACACATGGACTCACACACACAGACATCGACTTTAGGCGCACGCATCTAGTTTCTGCACACGAACATAATAGTAATAGAGTATTAGGCAACTTATTAGTTTCATAATAGTAAAGAATGAAGCAGAGTTGTTATGTGCACACAAACATTATCATTGTAATGTTTGTAAACGTATTTGTTTAATAATAGTAAACAATAAACCTGAGTTCTTAGCCAAAGATTGAATAAAATTGTACTATACATTGGCGCGGCCTCGCCTAGATTGGCAAGCCGGAGGAGGTGAGACGTTGCCAGGCTGCGAGCTGGGCCGCTACCCCCCCCCCCCCCCCACCATCCCCCCGCCCTCGCCATAATAATACTATGTAACCGCTTTAATAATATAAAATTAATATCTAAGGACTTTATATGAGTAACTGCACGCATTGGGGTGGGGGGGGGGGAAGGGGACATCACACTGTGAAGATAAATCGGCAGCGTGATGTGATTATCTATTCCATGTTAAACGCGTAAAATAAAATGTCTCCCGTGAGCTGGAGCGAACGCGCATGACTTGGCAGGGTCCGCCCCCCCCCCGCAATTGGCGTCACTTGGTACGGTCGATGTCGCGCAATAAGTAAATAATGAATAATAGAAACGGCACAAATGTGTTAATTAAACTACTTTAAAGTTTACGGACGGGAAAACGGAATAGCCTAAACCCACCACGGGGCTTAGGGCGTGCCGCCTGGAAAATTATTTAGGTCTTAAACCCCACCGTCCGAGAGCCAAATCCCCCGCAAGCGCGAGCGCGCGGAGACTTTTATATATAAGAAGATGTCACACATTGGTATATCAGTTGCATAGCTTGCCTTGTGGAGTAGGAAGGTAACCTATGCTTCCTGACCCACGCCACGCTGGCTCAGAACAGCCCCAGTACGGGCTATGATGTATACATGGAAAAAATTGGTATTTCTCTTCATCCTATACCGGTAAATGCTCCAATGTTATTCTTAAAATGTAGCAATTCCCCTCCAGCTACGAAATGTGCTGCAGATAAGGCTTTCGTGGGTGGGCAGAAAGTTCCCGTCCAGGCCATCGTCACACTTCTCCACCCCCTATAAGTTTCACTTCTTTCTGCACCTGGGGACAAGTTGCAGCTCAGGATAGAACCATCCTAGTTAATAGTTGCATATTTACGATATATTAATGCAGATTCTCAAACAATTAGGAAACTGTATGTCTATCCTTTCTTGCCTCTTTTTTCGCTCTTTGGACTGTCTGGTTTTTGATGCACATCCAAATTTTAAAAACTCTAATACTCGTGACACAGCTTGATTAACTGTTGTTATTTTAATGCCATTACACACTTGTCGCCTAAAAGTTCGCTTATGTACTGTAGGTGTGCATTGTAAATGAGTGCCAACATCCACTTTTTTGTTTAACGTGTCTTGAAATCAATTATGATAAGAATAACTTGCTGACTGCGATAATCTCTCTTATTTCAATAAATGAGAGAGAAGTCATTGGCTGTAAAAACTGCCAAGTGGGCTAAGCTGCACAAATTGCCTCACAACTTTCCTCCAATGTTTCACCATCAAAGAGGCCCCCTCTGTTAGCAGGTTGTGGAGAGGCAAGTCTTCTGAAGTGTGCACCCCCTGGTATGTCACCGTTCCCACAAAAAGGGTCATGTCATGTAAGCCTTGCAGCCCAGAGCATGGCTCGTGCTTAGATTGCGCGGCAACTTGCGGTCACCATTTTTCTCTGGAGTGCCACCAGGACTGTCAGAGCCACTACACGTCAGCCACTCCCCGTGGCGACTTTATTATTCAGGCCAGCCGTAGAGCCAGCAAATCTGTCGATAAAGGCTCGGACAAATTCGGGGTGTACAGCGGGCAGACTTATACACATTGTGCGAATCTAGGAGATCCAAGCCGCCACACCAGATGAAAACAATGGAAGACGGTTAGTAATGGAGGCGCTTGTCAGTTCTTCTGACCAGCCGTCCAGGGAAGAGGATCTCATCGCGGGGGAGACTTCTCTTCTAGGAGAAGAGGTGGACAAGGGGGATGGATCTAACAGAAGCCTCGTCGGGAACTTGACCGCACATTCCATGCGGGCAAGAACGTCCTCATCAGAGTGACAGAGCAGCTCTGGAGGCCCTTATGGAGGCCCTTATGGTCCAGACCAGACAGCTGATGTATTTGCCACAGACCCCGCAATCTGCTAGGGCAGACAAGAACATCTTGTTGTCACAGGATGTCACAGGATAGAGATCAGTGCCACTTATCCC